TATCCTAGAAGACTTGGTCCTACCAACCAAACCCTGGCCGAGGAGCAGCTGGAACCAGCGCCGATGTTAAGGCTGAAGCTCACGGTGCCCCTGCCTTACCGCTTGGCCACTCAACTCGCCTATGCATACTAATAATAATATTAAAATAGTTTTGCTGATTTGGTGCCTTATTCTTTTTTTATAGCTGTGAAGTTTTGAAATGAATTTAATAAAAATGTATTTTTATGCTTAAAAAGATAATAATTGAAATCATATGATTACTACATTAGTCACTTCAATAGTAGGTATTGTATTATTTTTGTAAATGTGCAGTTGATTTGATGTCGTCTTTACTAAAGATGTAAATTTATTACTTCATCCCACACAGCTGGTGAGGATTTTGACAACATTATTTGTAAGGCTAATCTGCCAAAAAAAATATTGCAACTGAAAACTACGAGATTATCATAATACATATTTCAAAAGATTCAGCAGTGCTCAGACATTCGTCTACTAAGGCATCTTATAGACTTATAGTCCTAGGCCTGTAGTGTTTCAAGACAATAGAATCTTTTTGTACTCTGATAGCTTGAGACCAAATTTGAATAATGTTTTAAAGTGTACAGGAAACCATTTAAGACATAATCCTTGTAAGGAGTTTGTTTTAAATTTTTTTTAAAAACAGTACATTCTTATCCTATTATCCAATGTTATGGTTAATGTTGCTATCTTCAAAGAACTAAAGTCAGTGAGATTTATGGAGATGTTTGTTCCATTGACAAGGGCCAGGAAGGCCTCCAAGGGCTAGTATTGATCTTACGAACTTTTTGACCATTAAGGTACTGTTTTGATTGATCCTGCGCATCGGGAAATATATCATACATTGTAAATATTCAGGGGGTTTATCTTGTCTTGCAGAATTCAACATTTAAGTACTTTTTAATAAATTTTAATATTGTTGTATAACAAATATCTTAGCTTAAGAAAATATTTATTAAAATTTTTAATAACAGTGTGGGAATCCATGACGTTTATTTATCTGCAGAGAAACTTACTGATCAGCTTTTTGATTTTGATGAGAGAGTAATAGTGAATGCTATATCATTGGGAGTGATGTGAAGAAGTTACAAACAGGTCATGTCTACTTATGATCATTATTATAGCTCTAAACTGTTGACCTTCAGCATGACCTTAGACTTCTTGTATACTGTTGATCATTATGTTACAATATTTTTGATGACAATTTTTTTTATTACATATCCCTGGTCCATGAAGATCTACTACAGAGGTCAAAGTGGATCAGTGGGCCTTTGATGATTAGTGTATTGAAGTTGATTGTCATGCAAGCTGTATTATCAGCACTATCTTCAATTACACTTACCTTTAACAAATTCATTATTATTCAATGTCATTATTATTATAACCATATTTATCAATTTATTAACGTCCTTGCTGTCGTCATCGTCATTATCATTACTACAATATTTCACTAGAATTAGTTCACCACAATCAGTTACAATAGCATCTTCATATGTACAATTGCTACTGCCAACTCCGTTTCGATTTTCCTTGACTTTTAACCATTTCACCCCAATATTGAATTACCTTTTTCTTAGACCAAAGATACATACTGCTCCACTAAATATTATAATGATCCATTCATTAGTTTCTTTTGTATAGTTTTGATAACAGACAGACAAACAATGCTGAATACATGCCTACTGTGGCAGATATTAATAATTGTAGTATGTAATGAATAAGAATTCACAACAAGCCATGCCATGCCTTTCTAAATAAAACTAGAAAATCAAAATTAAATGTACAATTAAATTACTGAACTAACTACGCTAACTTTTTAATATCACTTTGGCACAGAATATACAAGGAGGTAACAAAAGACCAAAGTCATAAAATGGCAATCATCATGTTTCAGAGTTAGGTAAACTGTAGTAGCTTCACATTTCCCTGGTGGCCAGTAGAGCCAGTGAAATCTGTAGAGTGGTCTCGGTACAGTACAAATAAAACCATTGTAGCCATCTTCATTATTGTTGTACTGTTATTGTCCGCTAAGAGCTGCCCTCGTTATTAGAGCTGCAGGCCTTCTAGGGTCCATATATGGAGTTAGTGGGGTCGAATGCTCCAGAAGCTAGAGACCTTTAAATATTTAGACATTTAAACGATTATTAGTCCAAAATGGTTGATATAAGAGTACTCTTTTTATACTATATATTCTTTTACTCTAGGGGCCCAGGGCTCTGTGATAATTTATGAATCTTCATGATAAAAAAATGATTTTAATTATACTGAGATTAGGTATGGCTTACATTAAATTAAAATGAGTTTGAAATTATTAATAGTGAAAATCATTTGATATGTTAGGATAAACTTCAATTTGATTTTGTTGATGATAATTGCAATTTGAAGTTTATCCCAAAATATCAAATGATTAATTACTGTATGGTGAAAATCATTTGATACGTTAGGATAAACTTTAATTGCACTTTTCATCAACAGAATCAAATTGAAGTTGAGATAAAAAATTAAATTTAAAGATTGAAAAACACATTTATACAAAAAAATGTACAATATCAAGTAGAACTATAAAGGAATAAAATCTACAGTGTTACATAATACAAGCTGATCATAGGTAAAGACACCAATCTGTAGGATTCATTATTTTATTACATACATTATAATAATAATTTATTAGGAACTACACTTTTCAATCAGTGGCACACTTCTCAATCAAGGTGCGTCCAAAACAAAATGTACAGTAAAGTTCACAAAAAAGACTTATGCTAAGAAAAAGACAATTCAAATTTTCAAAAGGGACATTAAGGAAAAGTAATGCTAAGAAAGAGACAATTCAAATTTTCAAAAGGGACATTAAGGAAAAGTAAAAAAAAAAAAAGAAACTGTTCAGCCATATAAAATTAAAAGCAATCTTAAACTAAAAAAAAAACTTAAGGCAAAATAAAGTGATGCAACAATCACATGAACAATTATACAAACACTATACAAAAGTACATGAAATACACATACAGTACATAAGTACATATACAGTATATCCATACACAACTGTATACCCAGTCACATGACTTTACCGTACTCACAATTATAAACATAAAGACATACAGTACATACTGAACTCTATACTACACCACTTATCACACAAGAAGCACACATATCAGGCCAGATAACACAGAAGCATATAAAAGTAAATCAAAAGTCATAAAGTAATACAGGACTAAAATCAAAAACGTTCGTTTTCTTTTTTTGATCTCATTTCTCTTTTTCCATGCCCTTGTAGCATACCTTTTACAAAATTTGTCAAATTTTTCTTCAATTTCTTTTGGAAGATTTAGTGAAAAAGAGCCAAGAACATACATTAACTTCTGATCGGTTGTTGAATTTATGAATTGGTTCCAAATAGGCCTATTTGTATTTACTACTTCATGTTCAAGCTTTGCTAGTTCTTCCAATCTGATGTTATGGAGGGAAGGACATGAAAAAAGAAAATGTCTATTATCTTCAATTGAATAAGATCTACAAATAGAACAAATGCCATCATTATTATCGGACCAACTTGAGATTCGTTATTGTAACGGTAAAGTATTGGAGTGTAATCTAAATTTTATGCAAGCATCCTCAAAATCTGTAGTTTCAAGTAAATATTTTTCTAGGCAAGGGCTTTCCTTAATAATTGAGTAATCTGAAAGGGAAGATTTTTGATCAAGGTTACTTCTCCAATCAGTACAAGCTTGTTCTTTAAGTTTATTCAAAATGAAGTTGGTCCAATTTCCGATGGGATAATCAATGGTATCACATATTAATTTAAATAAATTTACTGATTCACATTTTGAGAAAACATTGGAAACACATTGTAAGTACAGTATATAAAGTAAAGTTGACAATGTTGGGGAAAATTATATTGATGGTACTCTATATATACTGTAACAATTGAATCCCTAAAAAAAAAATCATGTAGATTCTTTTTCTTTTAGATTAATAAAATCATGCTTTGATTTTAAAATTAGTATTGTACCAGCATACCTTTAGCCTTGGTTGTTTATATTTGTAGGCCTGGATGTGCATACTTGCGTAGGTATATATGTTGACTAGAATTGTTGCATCCATGTGAATCCACAAATAAACATCTATTTTTAAAATACTGGCAAATGAAGCCATAATCGAGGCTGAAATTGAACACCATTCCGTAAATTACCAACCAGAAACCCAATATGCATGTAACACTGCTGCTCGCATTGTTCTTCGCCTGACTTAATAGCTTCTACCAGAAAGACACTATTTTCGTTTCATAATTCTACATTATTTGGTATTATTGTTAGACCAAGTTTGATTGTGAGGATGATTTTCAATAAGTGGTGTCGGAAATGAAAGCTTATCTATTTACCATAGGGATTATTGTCGGCATTTAACTATTAATTATAGAATGCTTTTGGTCACTACACTTTACATACCTTAGTTCTGTAGTTTTGCTGTATTGATCTAGTGGTTAATACATTTTTTACAAATTAATTAATACTTGTCTATTTTTATATTTACCAAAGTTAATAATGTCAGAGATTTTAATGTAAATGATATGATTATGACCATGATTAAGAAACAGAGGATAGATAGATGGTTTGATTATCATATTGACTATGACATAGATAATGATGATGATGGCAACGATATTGATTATCATATTGACTATGACATAGATAATGATGATGATAGCAACGATTATGATAATTATGGCTGTGGTAAAGATGATGATGGTAAGGACGATGATGTCTATGACGATCACGGTAATGGTACTGATGATGGTGATAATAATGATGATGTTGTCAATGATAATGATGTCAGTGACGATGATGATGATGTTGGGGATAAGGATGAGGATGATGAGGTTAAGGTTGATGTTGTTGATGTTTATGATGTTGGTGGAGGTAAATGATATGCGTACTTGTTATGATAATATCCATATTAAAATGATGAATTCACATTTTATTTTGTAGTCGGGCAGTTGGTATACATAGGGATCTAGATATAGATGTGTTTTGTCGAGGGCCTTTAACAGCAAGGCGGCATAGATCAGGGAAAATCAGTGTCTCATATAACCTGAAGGAAAGCTATCGGTCAATTGGTATGTATTCATTTTTTTTCTTTCTATAATTTAATAAATAATTAAAATAGAAAATATAATTTTCTTTGTTTAGTGTATAAAAAATTCAACTTCTTTATCATTTAGCATGTGCATAGTTGGAACATAGCTTAACAATGCAAAAAGAAAAACAATATGACTACCATCTTTAGTTCCTATGCATGTAATGCAATAGGAACTATTGTAATCACTCTTCACTGTTTTTCCTTTGTTTTTTATTGTGTGTAGTATGTGTGTGTGTGTAGACATTTATGCAAATGCGCATGCGTCAAAGAAAAGTTTTCCGACATTTTGTTTTACTTCGCGATGCAAAGTTTGATGTGAAGTTTCTGCAGAGTTCATTTTAATAATGTGTGTAAAATTTAAGAATGCACAGCGTGGGTCGCTTTCTTTGTTATGCGGTAGTAGTATACGTAGCAGAGTGATGGCAGCAATTTAAGCCTAGCCTAGGGTCTAGATAGTATACGTTCTTGATCATCGTAATGAAAACTTCGAGTGACAACTGGTGTGGACAATCGGATCCAAGATAGCTTCAAATAAATTGTAGTCCTAGTAGGCCACTGCCACCACCCCCACTCCTGATATCGTTCCAAACTACTGTAAAATGAAATTACTGTATACCTAGCTAGGCCTAGGTCCTGTGCCTACGAAATTTTTTCAAAGAAATTTGCTAAAAATATTACTGTATTTGCCTGTCGAATTACATTACCAGTGTGGTCTAAAATCACTATTTTAGGCCATAAAGACTCCCCCTGTTTTTTTCAACCTCCACACAAATTTGACCCAACATATATATATTGTTTATATATAT